GACTTAGAAATGTAAGTTTGTAAATTAGATTACTCATAAGGTAGATTGTAAGCATATAAAAGAACGGCGATGAGCCGAATAAAACATTCCAACTTTAAGACTCAACGTTTGCGTTTTACTTTTGGAATCATTGTGGGGCATTTTAATGCTCACCTTAATGCGGCTGAAGAGCTAAGAAAATACTAAACACCTTCCAATGTTTACATGGCGATCCTGCCAGCTCAAAGCTAGATCCTGCCAGCTCAAAGCTAGATCCTGCCAGCTCAAATCTAGATCCTACCAACCAAATCTAGACCCTGCCAACTCTATCAAGACCATGCCAGTACATTATGGTAGAGGAATACGTTCCGGAAGGATCGAAAAACGCAGAAGAATACCCCAAATACATCCCTACAAAAATTGTAATAGGACCCAAACCAATATCCCTAGAGGAATACCGGCAAAGGCAAAACCGCCAAAAAGCCAACTTACAAGAGTTTAGGCAACGAATAAGCTGCGAACATAAACCCAAAAAACGTGGAGGTAGAAAGCGAAGGCACCAAAAAGAATGTGCAGAACTACAGCGAATAATTAACATCAGTCGCGGGCAACAAAAGAAGAAGTTGATAACCAAACTAAAAGATCTGCACAAAAATGGGTGGAACCCAGCAACAACAACAACGCAGAACCACCAAAAGGATCATTAGGAAATTTATAGTATGAACAGGGAAACCACCTTAGAAGACGTCATAAATCCAAAAACTAGGGAAGAAGAAACAAGGAGAATGTTAGCACAAATAAGATAGCTATAACTAATAAAAATACAAAAAAAAATTTTTTTTTTATTAAATTAAAAAAACAAGAACTAATAATAAAAAGGAAAATTGTTTTTCTCATTCATTTTTTTTTGCAACCGTAAAATATTATTAACATAAAAATGACTTGGTGGAAAATTGCACTAAACGGCATATTAATAGGAATAGCAGGATACGAAGTAGGAAAAGAAACCTCAGGTGAAAACACCTACGAAACTAAAGTAATTAAATATCAACCACATCCTATCGTAGAAAACAAGGAAGAAGTTCCCGATAAGTGGTTGACCGCTTTTGCATGCGTAGCTACATGTTTAATTGTCGCAATGGTAATCTTGATAAAAAATTACATTAAAAACAAATTGAGACAATTAAACAATGTACAACAACGCGTATAACTCTCTCAATAAAAAGAAACAACTTTCAAAAATGCCAAAATTAATAGAAAAAAAGTAAACATCCCAACCATAAACGTCAAAATGGTACAAACAGTAGTCGAATTCATTAAAACCGCCTCGTCAGTACTCCCAGAGTTTGATGGGAAGCCAGAAAACTTACACAGCTTCTTAGATGCCCTCGACATACTTGATCAAATCAAGGATGATCACGAACTTTTAGCAATAACAATGATAAAGACCAAGCTAAAAGGAACGGCAAGAAACTTCATCAGTAATGAAAACACGATTGGACAAATAAAAACAAAACTCAAAAACGCGATAAAAGGTGAATCGGTAGAGGTTTTAACCGCTAAACTTCTAAACGTTCAACAACGTAGTAAAACTGCTAACCAATACACAGCGGAAATAGAAAAAATTACCAGATCAC